CTAAATGATTAGCTAAATTTTGGTTAATTCCAGTTTGAGATTCTTGACTTAAGTTGATAGCCTGAGTTTGTATTCTATGAGGACAATCAAAATGAGAAAATGCCTCATGAGATTTTTGTAACTCCAACATTAAAAAAATATCACAGCTTCCATTATCTCTAAATATTTTTTCTTCATACTCATAATCTAATTCTTGCGAAACTTTTGAATATGAATTATTATTTATATAATTAATTTCAGTTTTTTCTATAAAGTTTTCAACTTCGGTAATATTAACTTCTAATAAATCTTGTACAAATTCATTTAAATTTTCTGAAGTATCATCGTTATTAATTCCAAAACAAATATTAAAAGCATCATCTAATTGCGAAATTCTCTTTAACTTATCTGCAGCTTGATCAATAGTTTGAATTTGAAATATTTCGCTTTCTGGTTGATTATTAGTTTCAAATGTTAAACAATCTATTTCCATGTAACTATCTTTTAATTTTTTACACATATGAAGAAGATTCGAAAATAAATTTGCATTTTCATATGCAATTCTTATAGCATCATTTATTTCATCATTTGATAGCCAATTTTGCAACTTATCAATATCTATTTCCGAAATAGAAGTATTAAAGTCAAAAATGTAACCTATAATTAAACAAAGTATATAAATATTTAAATTGTTAAAATATAATAAAATTTAAAAATTTAAATTTAATTACCTGATGCAGACTTTTTTTCTTGAGTATCTAAGATATTTTCGCTACGTAAAATATTATCTCTATATTGTACTCGATTTAATATCTTATATAATTCATAATAAGAAAAGTCTGGCATCAATTGTCTTGCAATTCCAAATAAGTGTTCAAGTGCTTCTGTACCATACTCCCAAGAAAAAAATGGATGATTTGGATAGTAATCTCTATGAGCTAAAATAAGCAAAACTAATGATTCTGCCAGACTACAAAATATATTAAAACTTTGCAATGAAATACAGCTTTTATTTATATTATACTATTTTGCTAAATGTAATATAGAACATTGATCGATATAATTTTTCCATACATGTAGAAAAAAATATACATGCATTGCCATTATAATTCTAGTTTTATGAAGAATGTTTCGATTAAGAAATGAATCAAATAATTCACCTATATTTATTAAATTTACTTTAAAAATTAATATTAAAATTTAAATAAAAACTTAATATAAATTATTAAAAAATTATTTACCAAAAATAAAAAGATACACAAATAAAGCTGTTTTATTATCATTTAAGCTTTCATTATTTTGACATTAAGCCAAAAAAGTTGAGCAAAATAATCTATATACAGCTCCATCATCTTGCTTATCTATATTTATAACATCTCGAATATAAAGTACTGAATTTTCTTCTTGTACAAGTTGATAAATTTGATCATATCACACAGTATTATTCCCTAAAACTAAAAGACGTGCTCCACTATGAATTGCATTTCTACCATTTTTTTTAGCATGCTTGGGATCTTGAATACGAATTATAGATTTTCTAGAATAAATAGGAGCTTGAAAACGTATATTGTAAATCATATTTTCATATACAAGAAATTCTTGTGTATCGCTACCTTGCATAAGTAATGTCTATGCATTAAATTCAGTAATTGCACCATCTGCATCTATACTTAATATATTAATATTTGCTTGAATTGACATCTTTACAATTTTTTTTAAAATTGTAAAAATTTCTTGAGTTGTATCACTACCTTTTGTTGATAATAAAGCAATAACAACTGGGAAAATTTTGCTAATAGGAATCTATTAAATAAATATTTTTATTAACTTTAATTTATAAATAATACTATTATAAAAATTATTATAATTAAATTACCTTTAAAACAACACATCTTACTTGTGATGTAACAAGATTATTATCTTGAATTTCTTTAATTTTTAAATGTATATCTTTATATGTTAATATATTTGTATCTTCAATATTTAAAGTTGATCTGATTATACATTCCAACTCTTGTGAATAAGTTAATTTAGCTCGAATTTTAGTACAATCTGTCATTGCAACAACTGGTCCTGTCCACTTTAAAGCCTATGCAATACGAGCAAATTTTGCTATATTCTCATATATAAGGTTAGGATTGGTTAAATAATCACTATTTCGAACATGCAAATATCTATTGTATAAATAATTACATTATAGCATTAGTTTAATTATATTGAATTTTATATAAACAAATTTATTACCTTATAGATCGTGGATTCATACCATCTAACATTTTGTGAAATATACTATATTCTCTACTACTATCTGATAATAAACTAAAAAAGTGGTAAAGGTGTTCAGAATATTGCAATCCTCTTTTACTTTTTCCATGTTCTTGAATTTCTTTTATTTGAAGCATTAATTCTACTAATTCACTAAATATTTTATCTGGTTTAAATACACCTTTTTTCACATATTCAGATAATTTTAACCACATTTGACTTTCATTTGAATTTTCAATTGCATCTCCGTACAAAGCTTTTAATTTATCATTACCTAAAAGTTGAACCAATCTATTATCTCAAAGATGTCATTTTGTAGTATTTTTTCAGTTGCATGTGTCTATAATAAATAAATTTAAATTTAATTATTAAAATTTTTAAAAAATTAATAATAATAAGATTTGTTATATATAAAAAATAATCAAAAAACAAACATACTGTGCTAATTGTATCACAAAAATGTGAATTATTTTTTAATTTGTTACATTCTTCATATATCTTGGATTCATGATAAGTAAATTACTTACATTTAGCACTTGATACTAATAAATCTTCTCTATCTAAAATCCATGATGCATATGCTCTTTGTGCTTTATAAAGTTCTTATCGTTCATTATAACTTAATTTGTTATAAACTAAATGGCCATTATTAAGTTTTTGTGAAAATAATTGACAAGCAAGTTCTGTTTCATTTTTTGAACCACCAAAATCCAATAGGCATTTTAGTACATATTGTTTAATTTCATCACTTGATAAGCTCTAACATGAATAAGATTGTCTTTTTAATACTAATTCTGCATTACTAGTTTTAAAATATTTTTCAATACTAGCTTGACCTTGTGCTTTAGTGCTGCATGCTTTTTTGCTATGTATATATCTAAAAAAATAATTTCTTTTTAATAATAAATATATAAAATAAAAATTTTATTACATTTTTAAATTTTTTGGAGAATATCATTTATCTAACTTTAATTTTTTTCCACATATGCACAGAATCTTTTTTGGATCAATTAGTCGTAAAAAATATTTATGTCTACACAATTTCTTTTCTTTAGCACACATATGAGATTCTCCATCAAGTGAAAATTCATTATATTCATCATTGCTATATTCGTCTAAGTTATTATCATTATCAGATTTGTTATCATCAGTTATTTCATTATCATTATCATTAATTGGTAATAAATCAGTATCAATTTTATTAAAAGAACATTCTTTATGAATAATTGAAGAAGAAAAATTAAGAGTTGTTTGTCGTAGTTGATTTATTGTATTAGAAGGTTCAATTTCTCTATCATAGTCTGTAACTTTATTTTTACCCTTTTTAATGGATGATATAGAAAAATTAATAGTTGTCTGTATATGTTCTTTTTGCTGCGAATATTCTTCATTGTTTTTCATTATATGAGTTTAACGAAAATAATCAAACTAAAAAAAATAAATCATTTTTTCTATCTAACAATTAATTTTATACAATATTATGATATTATAATCTAATACGTTGATCTCAGAATGTTCAAATTTAATTAATGGTAAATATATTAACAACAATGGCAGTAAACAATACAATTAGCACAACCAAATTCAATTTATTATATGTATGATGATGTAACATTAATTTATATAATATATATATATATATTATATTTTATTGTGTACATATATCTTTTTACTTATACTACTATTCGGGAACCTTTTATATATTATTAATAATTTTACCTTTGTATTATCCGGAAAGTATAAAAAACTTTACCCTATAAAAACTTGGCCATTTTTAAAAACACTATAAAATTTACCTATAGCTTAGCTGATAACTTTAATATAAATTTTACCTAGTCTACATGCCAAAAACATCAATTATAAGTTTCTGGGGTCCTGGCTAACCATTAAACCCCTGCTGTTACCTACTTCTGCCCTTGTATAGGTTCACAGCAAACCTGGTACCTGCATTTAAACCGTCTTCTTACCCGGATTCTTTATCGGTCCCTCCCTTACTTCCAGCCGGCAACTCAGAAAAGTTGGTCTGCTCAGGCTTTAGGTATCTGAAAGATGCCCTCCCCTTGGTACATACTTTTAGAGCGTATATTTTTTTCCTCTGGTGTGACAACCTGGTAGTTTAGCTGGTGTGTCCTCCGCCATTAGGACCTGGTTGCTCAGTTCTCTGATCTCAGGCCCTGGTTCGAATTCAGCCCTCTTGTGATACCATCATAAATCACTGCTACTCCTAACTCAGGACTTCCCAAATGAGTTTTCGGTTATACCGGTTCCTCAGATTTATTGCGGCATTTCTCCCATTACTAGATGGTGTAACCGAAGTTACAGATTAGATTCAACCGATAAGCATAGCTGTTAACCAAACACAAGCCTAATTTTTGAAAATCGTTGTCCGTGGGATTCGAACTCTAGACTTGCCACTTAGAAAAGGTGACAACTAGACCACTACACTAAGTCGCCACATCTCTATTGCATAGGTTTATAGCTTAATAATTATAAAAGTTTTACTATATATATTTTATTTTAAAATTATATTTAAAAGTTTTATAAGTTTATTCCTGTGCATTATTGCACGGGTTTACAACTAGTAAACATATAAAGTTTTTTACTTTGATAATTCTTCATGCATTCTTGACAAATATTAATAATATCTTGGTTGTTTAGAAACCTAATATAAAATTCATTTTTAAACTAGTCGCCAAATTCAAGATTATATTAACTTTTTTAATAGTGACACCTGTTTATGTAATATATTTGTTATAAAAGTTTAATTTATATTCGGTCTCTTTTTTAGATTTTTTGCTAAAGTTTATTGGTTGGTATGAGTAGTTTTTTTCATAAATTTTCATGCAAACTAAACACCAAGCATGTTGGACAAGCATTGAAATAAAAATTTAATAACATTAACATTATTGTTATAATTTTTTATAATAGTTTTTTATGCCAAAATCACTAACTTAACTGAATCAGCCAAACAATCATTCGACTAATTTTTATCAGATGTTTCGGAAATTATGATAATAGCTATAAAGTAAAAAATCTACATTATAGTTAGGGAAGTGTTAGCTGATATTATAGGGTAGAGAGGTAGACAAAATCTCAGGTCTAAATATATACTTATAGCTAATCAGAATAACTAAACTTCTCAGGGGGAGTGAGCTCTATAGTAAACTGATCTCAGCTAATATTTGACATGTCCCTTAGATTAGAAATTAGCTTTCTTAATAACTCTAGTTGCTGCAACAAAGTTTCATGGCAGATTCTTGATTAAAGTGATGGTTAAAAAATTTGGCCAGAATTACTCAGAATTCTATTAATGAAACCACAAAGCCTATTAAGTAAAAATTGTTCCTGGGATAATACTAGATTATTTTCTAAAAATTTTTATTTTTGTAATGAAAAAAATCAAAAGTTAATTACGGCCTAATGTGGGCCAAATTTTGTAGATCTGTGGCTGTTAACTAATCAAAATCGAGTGACAATTTTGTATTGATCATTTGAAGAAATCTGACTAGTGCATACTTGATTGTCTTTTGAGGTTTTAAAATATAATTTAAAAATACATATACACTTGCTATTAGAACATAAAATGCTTATTTCGAGTATCTTTAAATTGGATAATTTTTAGATCAAGTCAGGTTGAGTTAATATTCAACTTGACCCAAAATTTTCAGATCAGAATTTTCAACCCAATTTGGAGCACTAGTTAGAGCCAGGGTTGTTAACTTATATGTAAATTTATTGTATGTAAATTTAATATAGAATTAATTGTTTTGTAACTATAGATTACTATAACCACAATTAAGATCAGGTATAATCCCTTAAATTGTAACACAGGCAAATTTGCCTGCGAAGATTTTTACTAATTTTTTTAATATTTAAATTTTTTAATA